TGAGAAGAAAAACCTCTCCTCCCCTTCTGCCAAATATCAAGTGCTTTTGGTAGCCATGGAAATACACTTGCAGTGTTAATAAACTTTGCCTGTTCAAAATACCATCACCTTCCTTCACCATTACCAGGAAAACAATTAAACGGAGCTATTACCACGGCACAGATCTATAGACTTGAATGCAAGTGTATATTTGTCCACCTAACCTCGGCATATCTCAAAGCCGTGCACGTTTCTTTCAGGTTAAATGCCAATAGACTCGACCACTTCCAGAAGAAATAATACGTATTTACTGATTGACTTTAACAGAACAGTGCAGCCATTTGTCACATGAGGAGACACACAACGCTTTGTTGTGCGGCCACAGCTGACTAGCTCTATTTTTCTATTTGCGAGAAAGTCACACAAAAGTGTTGATCAATCAGAGCGCGCCAATTACAAAAGCAAAACGACCGGCCGCGTTGCATCAAATGTGGCAATGGGCCGTTAGTGTTGGTTCAGGGAAGGAGTAGGTGGGCATTTTTCTAGCAACGTACAAGGAAGAAGGAGAATGGACGTCCAAAAGACCACTAAATGGTTACGATGGTGCGTGGTGTGCAAGCAGGGAAGAGGAAATAATCCACCGAAGTCATTGCAACACCAGTTGAAGGGCAGCCCAGTGGAGGTTATTTAATTTAGAGCGGCTCTTACGCGGGGAACAGACGAAAACGCAAGGGATTGAGCTCTACCAACAATTCTGCCTCTTTTTTAACAGTATGGACGCAACCAATTCAACGACCTGCTCCCATTTGTCTTGCTAGCTCAGTTGGTAACAGCACTGCACCGGTATCACAGAGGTCGAGGGTTTGAATCCCGTACAAGGCTGAATTTTTTTCAGGCTTTTTTTTCGCAACTTCAAAAGTTGCATCTATAACTGTGATGACCTACTCTCATAATTATAATTCTTCGCGTCACAGTTCACACATATGATTTTCATATTATCATAGCTTTAACAGTGTTTTATTTCCAATTTGGCGTTACGTGATGTACTACAGTTGTAGGTGAGAGCTTCTGCAACGAGCGAACACCATTTCTATAGTAAAGTTTAAACGGATCAGTGCGAGGCTTTGCTTACCATTTTTTTATTATACAATTAAAAATACAATTTGGATGTTTTCATACCACGTGTTTGTCCTCAACGAGAGATATTAAACGTAAACGAATGAACTCGCTCACGTCAGGTACAGGTACAGCAAAGCGTATTTCCAAATTAATAATGTCACCAACACTCACTTTTGAGGTGACAGCTTACATCATCTCCTCCTGCTCGCACTTTGTTAGTATGTATTCAACTTACCACAGAGAAAGGACATGATTATGGAAATCTTAAGAGCAGGATCTCCCAGAAATGGGTACGGCCTAAGAAACTACACGAACGAAAAGTACACAAGTATGGAATTTTGAAACCTTACCCACGGGCTATTGGTTTTGTGAATACAGTGAAAATCCGCGATAAAAAACCTCGCTGGTGTTACAGAACATGTAGACCAAAATGTGCCAGTTAGGCATGCTATACACAAAAACCTGTTTCGCCAAAAGTTACAAAAAAGTGCCTTTTTTCTAAAATCTAGATATTAGGTAAACTATTAGAATCCTCTTTAGACACGTAGATGTATTATCACTCCAACTACAATCTATTAGTGCTTGGGAGATTTATAATAGAAAAAAATTGAATATACCACTAAATCCTCTCAGCTTAAATCAATTATTTTCTCCAGAAAATAAGAACCTGTTTAAGAACCTACATAGCTCTGCTAAATTTGTGCTAATTATCATTTATGTAAGAACCTGTTTAGGCGAACCAACCAGCCAAGTGTGATAGGCACTACAGAGAACTAAGAAATGCTCAGAAAAACAAACCGAGCCCCCATCATGAATGGAACCCACAATCGTCCTTATTTCTTCGAGGTTCTTTTTCTGTTTAGGGTAACTTGGGAAAATGCAGGTTCTTAGTAGCTGGTTTTTACTTCTCAGGTTATCGAGGTATCAGTCTGTTTAGACAGGAAGGACATTGCTACCAAAATAACGCTTAAAGGCACTGCTTTAGGTGTTACAACAACCTTTCCTTTTTCAAAATACTACTAATAATTACAACAACAAGAAAGGTGTGGTCCAAATGCATTAGCAAAGTGACAGCATAGAAAGGAAGCGTATGGGAAAAAGGAAATAGCGTTAAGCTTTCTACAGTAGACAATACCAATATCCTTTCAGGCCTAACATTCTCGTTCCCTTTTCCTACACTCTACACCATCCATTAAGGTTAAGTCAAGTCTTCTTTAAAGGAAAATACTTTCCTAATTTCACTAGTACACGCAGAGTAAGGACAAAGAGCATGTTAGCAAATGTTAAGACTGAAAGTGTCAAGGGGCCAGTTTTACTTTCGCAAGATGAGATCTTGGAAGAGCAAAAAAACGACCTGAGGCCAAAACTCTATTCTCTTCCACATCTCCCAAAACAGCAGATGCAAGCACCTCCCCTTCCCGAACCCAAGTCAGCTGTATGACATCATAGCCCGAGGGCACTTGCTTCCCATGGAGCATCCGGCGCCCAGAGTGTAGGTAGCCAACAGCGACATTGAGATCATCTTGCCTGTAGATGACAACGGTTGGACCTTTTGACAGTCAACAGCACCCAAAAAGAAGAAAAAGGAGAAGCTTATTATTTATAACAAAAATTTAATCCATTGATTCAATTTGTGTTAAAAAAGATCCCCATGATCTTTGGACAGGTTTATTTTACTGCTGAATGTGTGGCTAGCTCTGCTGATGGACAAGGAATTCATGACTGGGCATATTGATCTGCCTTTCATGTTGTAATAGTGTATTGGCTTAAAACATGATAGCAAACTTGTGTTCACATACAGTCCCTACACATGGCTCCAAAAGCAATATGTGATATCGTGTAAATACCTTCTGATTGCAAAGCTGGCTGAGCAGATGTCGTTGACGTGGATGACTGGGCGTTTTTACCTGCATTTCAAAAGGAAAAAAAATGAAGAAAAAGGTTCCTTCATCTCTAACTGTAATGGCTTAAAACATGATAGCAAACTTGTGTTCACATACAGTCCCTACACATGGCTCCAAAAGGAATATGTGATATCTTGTAAATGCCTTCCGATTGTGAAGCTGGCTGAGCAGATGTCGTTGACGTGGACGACTGAGCATTTTTAGCTGTATTTTAAAAGGAAAAAAAATGAAGAAAAAGGTTCCTTCATCTCTTAACGGTAATGGCTTAAAACATGATAGCAAACTTGTGTTCACATACAGTCCCTACACATGGCTCTAAAAGGAATATGTGATATGGTGTAAATACCTTCCGATTGTGAAGCTGGCTGAGCAGATGTCGTTGACAAGGACAACTGGGCGTTTTTAGCTGCATTTCAAAAGGAAAAAAATGAAGAAAAAGGTTCCTTCATCTGTATCTGTGATGGCTTAAAACGTGATAGCAAACTTGTGTTGACATACAGCCCCTACACATGGCTCCAAAGGGAATATGTGATATGGTGTAAATACCTTCTGATTGTGAAGCTGGCTGAGCCGATGTTGTTGACATGGACGACTGGGTGTTTTTACCCGCATTTCACAAGAAAAAAGGAAGACAACGGTTCCTTCATCTGAAACTGTGATGGCTTAAAACATGACACCAAAGTTGGGTTGACATACTGTCCCTACACATGGCTCCAAAAGGAATATGTGATATAGTGTAAATACCTTCCATTTGTGAAGCTGGCTGAGCAGATGTCGTTGACGAGGACGACTGGGCGTTTTTCCCTGCATGTAAAAAGGAACCAAAAAACAAAGGCTTGATTTGTCGCACCGAATTTCTCTACAATATGTGATATCGTTGAAATAATTTCTGATTGTAAAGCTGACTTGGACGACTGAGCGTTTTAACCCTCATTTCATAAGGAAAAGAGTGCATTGTTTTGACAAGTCACCCCATATTTGTAAGGATAAACAGTGCCTTCATATCATTTAAAAAGTCACCCCTGTTACTTGCTTGCAGAATGTTCAGACAACTGCGCTGTTGTTTAAACTGGAATGAATTCCAGTTTAAGTGTCTTTGCCTAGTTTTCACAATCATTGTAAGGAAAGAAAGATGTGATGGTAAGCATATTGGGGAAATTCCGGTAACGGAAAAGAAGAAGCAATTTTAAAAAGCAGTAAACAATATTAGGCAAAGAGTACGTGTAATTGAGTGTAATAGGGTAACATGAATTCTTGGACAAAAACGATTTCTCCCTGGTGGTTAAAAAAGGTTGAAGAGATAAAGAGATGAACATTTAAAGAATGCAGTAAAAAAGAAAATATTGATTCATACCGTAAAAAAAAAATGAAAAGAAAATGTTTCTATCTCAATGTTCATTGAAATATACATTTAACATTATACCTTTTTTCTCATCTTTCATGAAAAAAAAAAGAGACGAAAGGTATGGAAATATCCAGAACTGAAAAGGGGTAGCTAGGGCTGAACAAGGTCACCTAATGATGATCTCAGAGTCCCTTGTGCGAGTCATTTGCAAATTTAATGAAAATACTAGCAGATAGAGTTAAAAAAAACAGTAATATTAACTAACAGCAAAACTTCAATACCTTTTTTTTTATGTGTCCACTTTGGCATACCATGGGGATGTCCTTTGCAAATATAAAGAAAAGAACTTGAATGAAAAGTCAGCTAGAATATAATAATTAATTGTCATTGATTTAGTATTTAATTCTACGTGGCTAAATTTAGGCAAGGGTAACCTCAAGACAATGCTAGCGTGTCACTGGTTGAGCCCCAGGTAGACAGGCTTGTGCAGGGTGGCTGCTCAGTCTGCACAGGCTGGCATGTGATTGCATATCTAAGCTATGCTTTGCTTTGCTGATCTTTGCAGATAATGGCTATTTACCTTCAAGGCACACGCACCAAAGCTAATCTTGTCAATAAGTACACTTATAAAGAGAATGAAGCATGCCTAGGAAAAACTGCGAAAACATTTGGAGGAAGAAACGGCCCTCATCAGATGGTGGGTGGTCTTTGGAGCGATCTCCAAGAAATTCAAAAGCTTTCCCCGGTGTGGCATAAGGGAAAATTGAATTTCCCTTGGCATGTTTGCAGTGGTGTAAAACAACTACATTGTAATCGCAACCCTCATGCAAAGTTTATATTAATAATAACGTCTTAATATCAATTACAACCAATAATGAACAAAAAATAGAAACCTAAGTGATAACTGAAAATACCAATGATTGATAAAAGCAAACATACATACATACAAACATACTTGTATTCTGGGTAGACTGTATTTCGTAGAGCACTCAATTCATTTAATTGAAGAGCACACATGCATACATACATAACCTTTATTAAAGTGTCTAATTGTTCTAGTACCTCTTGGCACTAACTGGGGACACAACGATAATTTTATTTTGTTATTGCCACAAGTATATTTTGGCTTACTTCACAGTGGGTTTTTGTTTAAAAAACAACAACTATGTAAATAATATGGGTGCTTCTTGTGTGGGACAGACATTTCTCCTAGGGAAACATCTCCGGTGACAATTCGAACGAGGAGAAATTGCTGTATTCGCAGGCCTCGTATTTTCTAAAATCTATAAAACGTTTTGTAACCTTGGCTAAAGAAGGTAAGTAAGCAATCAGGATCCTCTTTGAAAAAAATAGGTGTCTTATCACTAAAATATTTATTGCAATGTAAGAGTACATAGATTTTGTATACGGAATAAGTTTAAATACCACCACATACTCTTAGCGAAAATGTATTTTCTTTTCCTTCAGAAAATGAGAACCTCTTTAACCATTTATGTAATAACTTTTTTTGGCTAACTTAATTGGGAAAATACAGGTTATTACTTGCTGGTTTTTAGTGCATCTCTACAATGTAAATACCTACTCTGTATTCAAGTTTCTCCCTCTCATGTCTGGGCGAAATCACTCCTCGCTTCTTCACCCTCTCCCAGTCCTTCTTTTTCTTTTTAAACGTATAGTCACATTCCCTGTTCCTACACTTCTTCACAGCTACAGGGCAATCTTCATCACAAGTTGGGCAGCGCTTTTCCCAAAAAAATATCGGAATATGATGAAATGAAAAAGAAGAAAAATAGCAAGTGCAGTAACAACAACAACAAAATTACATATTACTTTCAAACCTCATTCAATTGATTTATTGATATTTAATGCCTTTTTACACATAAATGAAAGGAAAAAACGTTACATTACATGAAAAATAAACGAAACTAAAAATAATCTCAAGAAGCCATGACCACTTACAGGTGAGACTTCCTCTTCACATTACTTTTTATTAATGACTTATATAAATAAAGAACAGCATGTAATATTAAAGTAGTTTACAAGTGTATAGAAAATATAAAGAAAAAGTTAATCGTCAGTCTGATAACTAGTAATAAATTCCAGACGATATATTGAGTATTCTGTAAACTTATTAAATTTGATTAAGTAAACGTTTTCAGTGATTTTACTTGACCTGTGAAAGAGATAGTGACAACTAGTGAACAATAGCAACAGAAAAGCCAAAGAAGACAATGGAATTAGTGAAAAACGAGTGCTCAGTATTGTAGTACCTATTTCACGAGTCAAGTAAAATAACTCGAAAGGTTCTTATGTTGTTTGATCTAATTATTGAGTGAGGTAAAGAGTTCTAAAATTTCGGTCCTTGGTATAAGATTGTAAATTTTTTTATGTTTGTTCTGCAAGTATGAGGACAATATGACTTGGCATATCTAGTAGAATAATCCTTGACTTTCAGTTTGAAATAAATTTTGAAAAGAGAGAGGTACCCAAGTTTTTAGAAAATGTTTTTTTGTTTTTTGTTTTGTTTGTTTTATTTATTTATTTATTTTTTGGGTTTACTGGGGGCCCTGTAATCTGCAGCACAGATCCATATCATGTTGCAATATGTGAGATATGGATAGACTAAAAAAAAAACACAAAACCAAAAGAAGCGATTTTTTTAGTTACATAAGACCTTGCTTTAGACAAGAGTCTTGTTTTTGAAATTTTTGTGCGGACAAACCTCGTTATTAACAAAAGAGTTGACAACATGCACTAAGAAAAAAAAAATGATAAAAAAGACCAAAACGAGAGGTCAAGAATAGAGGATGCCCACCACTTGCAATAAGGCCATCCCCCCTTTTTTTTCATTTAGCGTCAAATGCGTTTTCGGATATTGGAGTGGTCGGTCGGATTGAAAAAAAAATAATAATAAAAAATTCACAAGTCTTGGAGGCCCTGGTACCCCGGGGTGATGTCAAAGGTTAACATTCAGTCACATATTTGAATTGACAAAATGCACAATATACTGTAAAAAAAGCTCCTGTTTTTGTTCCTGTTTTTCTCTGTGCTGTTACTATGCTCATCTTTTAGACCAAAAGAATTATTTCAAATGAAAAATGGTTTAACTACGTCGACTCATTACTTTTTTTTTTTGAAAATGCCAAAAATCTGGGTCGGTCGGACGACGCTAAATGAGGAAAAGAAAAAGGGTGGCCTAAGCGTCATGATAAAAAACATTAATGAATAACAAATAATATCAATACAGCTTGAATATCAGATAAATGACTGACTCCTATATATTGTGACCACCATATTTTTGCTATTGTTGTGGCAGGCTAACCCAATAGGTAGAGCACCTGACAACAAAGAAGGTTGCAGACTAGATTGCCATGGCTGGAAAAGTATTTGCAGTCTTACAATAACTGAGAAATGAAGGTACTGCCTTTGGCCTGCAAATGGCTAGACCTTCATGTGGTTTGTATGACCACTGCAAGGAAAAATGGTGATCCTGTCTCTAGTATTGTCTCATTATTGTTTTCCCTCTATGCTAGTAAACTTTTTAAGATCGTCGAATCACATCTTCCTAATTCCCATTGTTATGCAGATGACACGCAACTGTACATCGCGTTTAGATCAGGAAATGATTTGGAGGAGACCGCTGCTATAACTGCCATGGAATCATGTATTGCTGATATCAGTAGATGGATGCATTCGAATAAGTTAAAACTGAATTCGGAAAAGACAGAATTTCTTCTGACTGGAACGCGACAACAGCTTCAGAAAGTCAGTAACACGAAGACTCCCAAAATGCTCCATCTTGTGAAGTTCGAAACCTAGGAACCTGGTTTGATTCTAGAATGAGCATGCTAAGTCATATCAACAAAACTTGCTCATTCGCTTTCTATTATCTTTATAACATGCGTAGAATTAGGAAATATTTAAGTCGTTCAGACACCGAATCATTAGTTGATGCTTTTATAACCGGGAGAATATAGATTATTGTAACAGTCTACTATATGGCCTCCCGAATTCACATATCATGAAACTCCAACGGATACAGAATGCCTCAGCTTCAAGATTCTGCCATGTTACACCATTGCTTTTCCACCTTCATTGGCTTCCGATAAGTTACCATATAAAGTTTAAGATTCTACTTTTGACATTTAAGTGCTTATATGGTCAAGCCCCAAATTATTTAATTGATTTAATTACTTTAAAAAGCAATCCAGGTACTCTCTAAGGTCAAATGGGTGTGTTCCTCGAGTCCAGGCATTAGAGACCCGTCCAACTCTTGGCAGTCGTGCATTCCAGTCAGCTGCACCTTATCTCTGGAATGCATTACCTTCGGCAATTCGCAACATGAAGACATTGGACACTTTTAAGACTGCTGTTAAAACTCATTTTTTCAATTTAGCTTTTAAATAGATTTAATTGTTGGCTTTTATAATAGTTTTTTTTTTTTTTTTTTTTTTTTAATTATTATCATTATTTATTTATTTATTTTTATTTATAGTTTTTAATACTTTTTATTGTAGTTTTTAATAGTTGCTCATGCTTTAGTCACCTTTAACATAAATTTAATATAACAATATTGTAAAGCGCAACCGAATATATTCATATAGAGGTTTGCGCTATATAAATGTAAATTATTATTATTATTATTATTAGTAGAAACAAAAATGCTGCCCGTAATAAACACTTTCCTGTTTAACAGATTGACAAGCAAATAAAGTGCCTTTATCGTGCCACTGTAGTTGTTAGTAAAATGGCAACCACTGTAAAACCTTTGGTGACCCGTATGTGGCCTACTCAGGAAAAGCTACATGATGAAAGCTCAGTATGACAGCAAGTTAGTAGCTGTTATCTTGAATTGGTAAAATCCTGAAGTGGCATCTTGAAAAGGTTACATTGCTCCAAGGACAGCTGCAGCAGATCAACAAGAATGAAAGTTAATTTAGAGTAACGTGATAAAAGAGGTATTTAAAAAGCATTAAAGCCACAGCAATACGGATATCCGTAGAGTTAATTTGAATTTTTGTACATATACTAGAAAAAAAGACTACTTTATTTATCGATAAGGCGAACTATGCATCAACATCAGTGTGGAGTAAACATTGATAATCAAATAGATAGAAAAGAATTGCAATAATCACTATCATTGCTTAAATGCCGAAGGAAAAAAACTATGCTAATAGCATGCTGATTGAAATTTGAATGCGGCCTCTTTTGGAGTTGTCAGCCTTTGAGTTACAGATAATTGATTATCTTTTGTCTGTCTCCATGTCCACATTCTAATGATCATGAATAACCTTTAAACCGAGAAACAGTTAAAGCAAATGTCAATGGATGGCCACCCCAACTTAGTATGTAGTGTACATTAGTTACTACCCCTGGATCTCCAAAACTGAGTCTAGCTGCAGTGCACGGTGTGGCCATGCAATGCTTTAATTATGAGATAAGGATATGAGCGAAGCAAGGGTTTGCTTCCAGTATTATCAAACGATTATTAAGCTTACCTTGCGAGTTTTGGATGAAGAAACAGACTTCCCTGGAAAGCAACCAGATAGAGAGTTACTTCTAAGTGACTTGTAAGTGACTGTTAATTTTGACCAGTAGCGGCTCGATTGCAGTATCGCGAGGACTGGCGGAGTTTTCCCCTCGGGTACCAAAACGACCTACTTTAAGCATCGTTTGCGGTTTCAACTATAAACCATGACCCACCGTACAATAGTTTAATATTACTGAACCATTTTGAAAAACTTTTTGGAGCAGAATCAGCTTGTGTAACTGTTACAGGGGTTTCTGAGGGATCCGCCATTTTGAATGAACCATCATACTACACCCGATACGCTTGAAATTGACCACATATGAGCGAATCTAATTAACAAAATTAACGCATACAAGCGGTAAACGTAGGCCCCATTTACCTACCAAGAGATAATTTGCCCAAAAATGCTCAAAGGCCTGGCTACATGAGTCTATTCAGCTCTCATTCTTCGCCATTATGCCTCCTCGAAGGGATTTTGGAGCCAAAAGAATCTTAAAAGTAGTTAGTTTCAAGGGAGGGAAGGCTGTTAAAAAGACGAAGCTAAATATTCCTGTTCGATATACAGTGTCTTCAGCGTCTGCTTGCCCTTCAACCTCTGATCCTACCACAGAAGATGTAAGCTTAATTCCTGACGATCCTGATCTCCCCCATGGCTTTGATGATGGCTCCAATAAACCTAAACAAGCAAGGTTCAAGAAAAGGGGGATAAAGCGCAAGCTTAAGGCTTACCACGAGAGAAAAGCCACGCTTGCTGCCTCCTGGCTTAACGCTCGAGAACAACTTATTGCAGTTTTGATATCAAGGCAAGCATTGCCTATTTCACAGAGCTGCATGATATGCGAGCAAGCAGCCATTGGAAGATGCCCTTTGTCACGATCACTTAAAAATCGTTCATGCAGGAGGAAGATCGCTGCACAAACCAGAGGTTTGGAAGGTCAGCAGGGATGTCCTTGCTTTTTAATTGACATTTCGTTCTACTCTTAAACTGCATTAAATCTTTAAAATCGCCACAGACAGAAAAGTAACACATATTTGTGCTCTATTTAATCAGCATGACATTTTTTTCTTTAATGTAGTTTGACTGTAGAAAAGACTAGTATATAAAATTGACAGGAAAATTCCCTCACTGAAGGGTTACCTAAAGTTCACATCCAACACGTGAAATCAAACTTAAACAAGTGAAAAATGTGTATAATATGAATATAATTAAAATA